TGAGAGTGAGAGAGAGAGAGAGAGAGAGAGAGAGAGAGAGAGAATGAGAGAGAGAAAGAGAGAATGAGAGAGTGAGAGAGAGAACGTGTGTGTGTGCATGTTACTCAGAGCACTTGAACCTGTCCGTGTTGCTTCTATGAGAGACAGTGTAACGTAATAAAGTCTTACTTAATTTGGCCAAAATGTGGTCCACATTTCTGTAACCCACTGCCTTCCCATGGAGTGCGCAGGAGGCAGGGTGGTTAGGCCGACGATTATCACACCACGCTGTGATGTAACGTGTTATGGGCGTGCGGAATCTAGACCGAAAACAAAGTTATAAACAGGAACAGTGCATTATCAGGTTTCCGTTGGAGCAGCATTTTTTGAAGAAGGGAGTTCTGTGTAAACGAATTAAAAAGTATGGGTTTATAGCGCGGAAGATATTATGTCTCTGTTTTTTCAGTCGTTGTGCATTCTTTGAAGAAGGGAGTTCTGTGTATAAGGTTTTAAAATTACTTCTTTTTAGCGCAGATATTGTGTTTTTATTTTTCAGTCTCGCTGTGCGTTCTATTTTAAATAAGGGAGCTTTGTGTAAAGGTTTTAATAGTAATGTGTTTTAGTGCGACAATATTGTGGGTTTTTTCAATTGTTGTGCTTCTTTGAAGAAGGGAGTAATAGGTAAAAGGTTTAATAGTTATGTTAATAGCACAAATAGTGTGTATTTATCTTCTATACATTGTCGTAGTTTAATTAGACTTTGAGACGACAGGGCCAATCGTTGTTGACCAGACCGATCGGTCGGCAGCTTCTAAGAGGCATCCCTCAACCTTTGTTTAGAAGCTTTAGATCTTAAATGTTTATTCCCAGTTCATTTTTGGTCGCCATCTGGTTCTCTTCTCACCAATTTTCAAAGGCGCGGCGTTGCTTAAAATTATGATGTCTGAGAGTCGTATTATTGTGGCAAAGCCACTGAATCTTGGCTTTGCATATTGAAATGTTTGTCAGTGCACCTATTTTGGATCTTTGTCTTTCTTCTTCGGTCGTAATGAGGTCTTCTCATCTGATACAGGTACTGTGGTCTACATTCCAATGGCATAGCTTGCGCATATGGAGAGTAGACACAGCAGAAATAAGATCGGTATCAAGTTTGACCTAATCCCTCATGTATTCACAGGAGAGTTGTTTTGTTGTTGTCTTTGTTGTTGTTGTTGATTTTGTTGGGGGGGCGTTTGCAACGGAGAGAGAGAGAGAGAGAGAGAGAGAGAGAGAGAGAGAGAGAGATGGAGAGAGAGGGGGGTGAGAGTGGTGGGTGAGAAATGAAGGGGGAGAGAAAGACCGTCACAACTGACAATAATTTGAGACGGACACGGTGGAAGATGTATTGAGAGACTAACAGAGAGGTCTTTTCTCGGTTACATAAGCGTCGGTAGTCTAGTGGTTAGGCTACAGGACTCGTAATTGTGAGATTGCGAGTTCGGGGGTTCGAGCCCCAGCTCAGTCCGACGTTGTGTCCTTGGGAAAGGCACTTTACACGAATTTCCCATTTGGCTCCGTTCTTTCGGAGGTGGACGTTAAAATCGGATGTCCTGCCTTTTAAATAACCGGACAGTGTTGATAAAGGCGTTAAACGTATACCATTTCACCAATTCGGTTACATAAAAAGACAAAATTTCGCTGGTGTCTCTGATACTGATTGTGCCACTGATGACGATCATGTGGACGGTGATCTTCACAGTCGTAGTTGTTATCGTCCCACACACAATCTCAATAAGAACTAAAATGGGTAAAACAACTATAGTAAAATCAACACAACAGCGGTTGCAAATAGATCATTTCTTGAGCACACCCATTAACACTACCAACTCCCCCACCCCACCCCCACTCCCAAACAGGCACAGTGCTACTGTCAAATGTTTGTTGTTGGGTTTTTTCAATCAGTGTAATTCCAAGTATACCTCTCTCAATTATACAGGAGAAACTCCCTGAAGTCGTGCCACAAACTGACCACTGACCACTGACCACTGACCACTGACCACTGACCACTGACCACTGACCACTGACCACTGACCACTGACCATGGGCTGCGCCATCTCCGGAATCCCGGACACCGACGACACGCTGTGTAAACGCCTCAAGTTTCTGGCCGACAACTTCCCAGACAGGGAACTCTTCATCTTCTACGACCGCGGAGTTCGTGACGTGTACACATCCAAAGAACTCTTCCAGTTGGGAGGGAAATTTGCCGCCCTGCTCCGTCAGAAAGGTTTCCAGCGTCATGACATGATAGTGAACGTGCTGCCCAACTCTCCCGAGCGACTCATCACTGATGTGGGCATCATTCTGGCGGGCTGTGTCGCCATGAACGGACAGGTAAATCTGTCATGAACGGACAAGTAAGTCTGTCTGAATGTCACTTCTTCAGAGTTTTGTTAAAATTACTAAGTGATAACTTAACCCCATAATCCACGAGGAACTTAGGGGCGCTGTATGACAGAGGGCCTCTTCAGGTGACTCCACTTTTCACGGTTGTTGTTTTTTGCCATCGCCTGAGTTAGGGCAAAGGATTTCCCTGTTCACTCCGCAATGTTGTCGGTTCACCTCTTCCTTTGCCTTCCTCTCCTTCTCCTCCCCTGCACAGTTCCCCGAAGAATGGTCTTGGATAGGCCACAATGATCTGTAAGTGACTGTTCGTCAACCGATGCCGACTGTGCTCGTGTAATTTTCAAGAGCATCAGTCACGATTTGTTCTAGGAAGATGACGAACAAGGTAGATGATAGCAGGCGACCTTGGCGTACATCAACGGTAGTGTAGAACCATTCTCCTATTTTCCCTTGGGTGAGGACTGCACTGGTGGCTAAGTTGTGTAACTGTTGAATTGACTCTATCAGCTTTTGCCCCTTGTTGTAGTTCTTCATTGTTGCCCATGATACATCATGCCACACGCGACCGAAGGCAGGAACATCTTACCAATGAAAGTCATGTTACCCTACTATGCCCACAAAAATATCAAGAACTCATTACTAGGTTGCCTGTCAGTTTCCAACAGGGCCATGTACATCCGCGTACGAGAAACACCACTCACCATTATCGTAGTTTAGGCCTATGCACCAACACAAGTCGTTCGGAACAGAACTTTCTTTTCAAACACATCATGTGACTTATACTTGAGATAATAGTAAAATCATGCGATCTCAAAGCCAACTTGGGTTCATTCAAAGTTGAATAAATAAGTATAATGTGCTGTGCGATATATCTAAAGTATTTTTAACCAATAGTATAACAAGATTAATTAATAGCCTAGCACAGAAGAGAAAACATACGAGGAACATACAGGCCCCTTCTAATCCCTGTGCCTCCAAGCAGTCTGCATTTTCAAGAAAAGAAAAACTATAACATTCTAAACGGGTTTCGTTTTATCCTCAGCTGGTGAGAGCTGACGGCGCTGATTTTTTCGAGTCTGCCAAGAAAGCAAGATGTCGGGCGATTGTGGCCAATCTACAAGATCCAGGTCCGTCTTCCAATCTGTTCCTTCCTTACAGTGGAGAGACAGGCGGCTCTTCGAAACGGTTTTTAGATTTGAAAATTGATTCAGCCCCAGAACTGACCTCAGCAATAAATGTGTTCAGGACTGGAAATGCGTAAGCGAAAATGCTTTCTAACGCTTTGAAATTTTCTCTCATTTCTCTAACGTCATACCAAGCTCCCGTATTATTATGTTTCATCGTATCTGTTATCTCCGAGACTAGCTGTTGTTGAGACCAGCAAACGGTATTTTGTCTCGGATATCCATACCCGTAGTCTTGAAAAACCCTTAATTATGTAGGCAAGATGTTTGATAATCATCAGCAACAGTGGCAATTAAATCTTTTCTGGAAGAGGCACTTCCAGTTGATTTGTATGATTAAAGAAAGCAGTCAAACCTGTCCAGGACCACTACACATAGTCGAGAAGAAAAGTGGTCATCTTCGACAGATTGTGGTGGGGGGGGGGTAAATCATTAAACCATGTCATTATTCTACTCTATTGGAAAATAAAATCAAGAAGTTGGTGTGGTCAGTATCACAAGTAGTTGTTTGGACAGGTGGTCGCTTGAACAGGCTTGACTGTATTTCTTGTATCCTTTCATGACAGTAAAATCCTGCTGGATGAGCTAAGAGACAGTGAGCTTGACCCGCTGTTGGAACCCTGCGACCCTGATGACATGGTAAAAGTGTTTACCACCTCGGGCAGCACTGGCTTCAGTAAAATGGTGCCCCTAACACATCGCAGACTCTTCAACGTCTGGCAGGCGTATGTGGACTTTCTGGGGACGTATGGGCCGGTCAAGGAGATGGGGAAAGGTGGATATTATAACGACAGAGCACTTGGTAGGTGAACCAATATATTTATTTTATCTCTGTCTCTCAGATCCTCTGGCTCTCTGGCTCTCTCTCTGTCTCTCTATTTCTTCGTCTCTCTGCCTTTCTGTTTCGTTCGTCTCTCTCGCTATGTCTGTCTCTGTCTCTGAGGATTGAAAACAAACGAAGGAAGCAATGACAAATTATACGATTATAAGAAGAATAATCTGCCAATGATGGTTTACCAAAGACGTGTAAACATCTACGTTGTGTCATTAATGACAACAAAAGGAAGAATGACAAAATGTTGTTTTGTTTTGTATATATATATTTTTTAATGATCTAAAATTGCGTTTCTTTCCTGTTTACCGGTGTTTGTGGTGCAACGGTAAGGGGCTTCGCTGTCGCACACAGGAGAACGAGATCAATTCCCCTATGGAATTAACATTTATCGAATGCTACAGTCTTTCTGCTGAAATACTGTATCCTTCTCAGCCCAGAATGGCCCTAACATGATGGGTGTAGCCCTCCTAAATTATCTAAATAGTTTATTTGGGGGTAAAAACACTAACATTTTTCTTAGCCCAAAAAAATCCTTCCTTTTCTTTGCAGGTTGGGTTGTCGGATTCCCTTATGGAACCCTAATGTACGGTCTAAAGCGAGTGCTTTTGGATCTGTGGTTTGAGAACGCTCAAGTGAGATCGGGAGCCGCCATGTGGAACATTATCTCCAAAGAGAAATGTCGCTCCTCCAGCATCATGCCTATAGACATGTACAACATTCTTGAGCATGTACAAGAGAAGGGAGATGACTCGTTCCGCATGGACATGTGCATGATCAGTGGACAGCCGCTCAGGAAGGTCAGAGGTTAACTAAACCAATATTGGCTAAAGCAGCGTTGATTAAAGCAATGTTGACTAAAGCAAAGTTGACTAAAGTAGTGTAAAAGGCTGGTGGGGCACCTGAAGTCTATTTTGGCTATTGCAAGGCCTAGAGTGTCCATATTTGCTGTGGGACATCATGTCTTATTGGGGATTTTAAATCAATAGTTCAAAAAGTATATTGTGAATTGGTTGCTGTGGATACGGCGGCCATATTGGATTTTGCATATTTTCCAATCTCATTTTCTTCCCTTATTTATAAACTGATTCACTTCTAATTTCGCATGCCAACAGTAAATATGTAGCTCTTAAATGTGGCTCGTTGTATTTTTGACATATATTTTAGTTTTTTATTTTATGACTCTTACAATTGGGTTGTTTCAAAATAAGTGAAACAAATTGAAAATTCATACTTTCTAAGCCCATAAATCAAAAACTGCTCCATTAATAAAAAATTCAACAAGCAGAAATTTAGAATTAGCTGTTGTTGGTATCCTGTGAAAGTTACATTGAAAGTAAACAAGAAACAGAGAGAAAAAAGGGATAATGTGTGAAAAAATAGAATTGTGAGGAAACAGCCGATAAAGGTAAGAAAAGGCTAGAAAACATGTGCTTTTTCGTAGAAAAAACTGAAAAAAATAAACAGTTTTATGGTGCAGCAATGCTACATACGTTTCTGGATATTGTTCAGGAAATTTCCTGGCACTATAATATGCAATAACCCTAATTTGCATAATTTGACCCCAAAACACGATTTCTAGGTGCCCCACCAGCCCTTAACTAAAGCAATGTTGACTAAGGCAATGTTGCAGTATAGTGAGATTAAAGTGTCAACGTCTCTCGCAATATTTTCGAATCACAGTTTTGTCCTTACCGAAATACTTTAAAGAATTCCACTTACTCAGTCTCCTTCTGTCTCCCCACCCTTTATCATTAGATAAGAAGCACTGAGCTCTTAGTCCTCTCGGATAAGGATGAAAAATCACTAAGGCTCAGTATGTACGCAGCACATGTAAAATATTCTTTGGTGGTCGTAAATTGAAGAAAAGGAGGCAATTACATTGTCACGACGACAAAATTCAAATTTCAAAAATGTCCTACCATAACGAATATCCCAACCACACCTATTAATAGTATGTTTTAAAATCCCTCACACCTTCCTTGATTCCAAACGTGTTGACTGTGTCTCTTATTTGGAGCAAATCAAGGAAAAAAAGATCTGAACAAAGGAAAAAAGTGTATTGGGCAATCTACTTTCTCTCTGTCTACCGCCCAGGCAAATCTATGCCACGCATATACTGCTTTGGTCATTATTGATATCAATGGACAGCCGGAGAAAAAAGAGTTTGGCAATCTTTGCAAATACAACTTGTTTCAGTGATAACTGTGTTTGGTAACGTCTGGGGAATTTGGAAAATATGTTGTAACTGACAACGATCTTGTACAGAATGCACCATGTGCTGAGTAGCGGAGTGCTCTGTAGTTTACTACTCTTGGTTCCTCTCTTACTTATGGTCCAAGTGGAGTAATCAATGCTCTTGCGAATTCTTTATCGCTGAGAAATGTTCTGGACAAAGTGTTGTCAATATAATAATACACATCTAGTATAAACCTAATCCTTGACGTTTCTCAAATCCCCATTCCTGGACGGTTCAATTGTGGTCAAGCCGAGATGCTCCAGCAATACAACATGTGGAGGAACTGTTCGCCCTGAATACCCTAAGCAGATAATAATAATAATAATAATAATAACATTTATATAGTGCATTTCCAAAAAAGG